TGTCTCTTTTACCTCCTCAATTCAAGAACAAATGCACTTATTTTAAGAAAAAAGGACTTATATAGATTTTGATTTTTTTCAGTGTTTATGGGGAGGTGATTTACCACATGCAAAATAACCAGTTTTCAAGCTCAGCTTCTCTGACAAACAAATGCACTAAATAAATATACTGTATATATAATCATTTTAGGAATTATAATTCTTATTTAAAAACTGGTTATCAGAACTTTTTGTTGATAACAGAAAATGTAATAATTGACACTAATGATGAAGACAATAAATCTGGCATTTTATCCTAAAGTCCAATATTAATCATTTATTAATGAAAGTTATTTGTAGGAACAGGAACAAAGCTCATTTTATACCAAAACCGTGCATTTTTCACCAGAATTTCATTTCAGGGCTGTTGTGTGTCCTCACAGAGCCGGCGTATGTATGGCAAGCAACGGCTCTCAGAAAACCACACAAGACAAAAAGTTCTGTCATAACTGATAGCTTTGAAAACAGGATCACTTTGTATCAACTCTGCAAAAAAAAAAAGATGCACATGATTCCTACTGAACTTTATTTATGCTCAGACTCTCTGTAACCGAGAGCAGATACAAGCCTAACAGAAACTGAATAATAAGGTGGTTCATTGAAATGTCAGCTTAAAGCCGGACAAACTTAAGGAGCTCGATCATTGAGGATTATTAGATCTTACATTTTTTCCTGTGCAGATTTGCTAAGTTTTATGTAATTTTAAAAGTGGAACATTTAAAGAAACATTTACTAGAAACTCCAGGTAGTTTATTTGGGGTAGAGTTTTAATATCTGTATGTGAATAAAAATAAAGATTAAAAAACGGAGTAAATACTATTGACTTTCTAATGTTTGACTGATATGTTGTTAAATGAATTGGATCATTGCCATGGGGAATATTTTTATAGAATTAAAAAAAATCACATCATCAATCAGACTTCTTAGGTTCAGGTTTCCTGGTCCGTTACCACAATGTTTTCAGTCACATAAAGGATTTGTGTTCATCTTTTTGTTACATGTAAACAAACCCAAAATGTGCCTTCGGATGTCTGGCATCTTCAGGCCGTAAACAAGAGGATTCAAAACTGGAGGAACAACAACAAACTCAAGCGACAAAACAACAGCGACGAATGGATTTATGTCCTCCAGGTTGAATCGACTCAAGGCCACGTCACAAAATCCAGCGATGGAATAAATCACAAAGGAAACAATGTGAGGCAGGCAGCTATGCAACACTTTGACCTTAAACACCGCTGATCTACTCCAGCATACAATTAGGATCCGTAAATAGGAGTAAAGCACATAAAAAAGCGGGAAAAAGACAGTAGTTATGGTCAGAAACATTCCCACAGCATTGTTTAGATCAGTGCTGACACATGATAGTTTAACCACATTCCAGTTGGCGCAGAACACCTTCTCTATCTCATTGCCACACAAAGGAAGCCGGGCAGACATCAATATTAACCCTGAAAGAGACAAAGCTGGGAAGATCCAAGCCAGCACTGACAGCACAGCTACAGTTTTAGAGGTCATCTTTTTGTGGTAATGCAAAGGATAGCACACAGCGACGTATCTATCATAAGCCATGATGCTCAGAATGGTCAGTTCATTTGAACCGTAAGTATAAATAACATAAATCTGGGTAAAACAAGCCAGGCGTGAAATCAAGTGGACGTCAGAGAGCAGGTCCATGAGAAATCTGGGAAAGAAGCCTGTGGAGCCGTACAGAGCATTGGCTGATAACAAAGCAATGAACATATACATGGGCTGATGCAACACTCTATATTGAGAAATCACCACAATCATTAGTAGATTCGCGCAGACGATGAAGCTGTAAAGCAACAGGCAGAAGATGAAGGCTGCAAAGCGATAGTGTCCAATGTTCACAAACATGGTGAGGTTGAAAGAAAAAGGCAAAGAGCTGTTTTCCATTTCAACCCATCAATGAAACAATGCAACAAAACTCATAATACATGTAAAAAAAAAAAAATCTAATTTACATTAAAGGACCATATCAGAAAAATTTGTTCAAAGTTCATAAGTTTTACTCCTTCAGAAACGAGATTAATTCAACTGTTTCAGTCAGAACTGAAGACATGCAGAGAGTGAAAATAAGGAAGGAAATAAAGGGTCCTTATTATTTCCTGGCTTCAAACGTCATTCACTACTTTCTACTCAGGAGGATTTACACACAAACTAACAACTTGTTTTGATTTGTTTTTAATGTGACAGCTTACACATACGCTGTTTAAAATTTGCACTAAACACAAACCAGTATGTATTTCAGAAGTGAAAGAAAAACAATAAAAGGTCTCATTTTCTTTTCCTAATAAAAATCTTAAAAAGTGCTGCATGCAATTTCAGTTTTTAGACTTAGTGTAGATAGTCTTCCTTTGACTTTGTGTAGTTTTTTATTTTAAATCCTGCCGTTCTTAGAAGGGCTTGGAGGACAGTACGAGAACATGAATGGGAAAATATCTTAATTTCCTCATAAAACGAAATTTTGAAATTTATTCACCTGCCATACCGTGAAAAAAAAAAAAATTCAAGAAAGTGTTTTTTTCTTTTGTTTTTTTTTTTGACACATCATTTATTTTATTTTTTATTTAGGCTAAAACAGAAAACTCTTAACAAGCAAGAAACAATGCTCATTTTTAGGGATATACTGTATGTCTAACTTTTTCTAAGTAAGATCTTTGAGCTCATCTTTAATTTTATTACAGGGTATAAAATGGTTCGGTTGAAATTCCTGGACAATAATAAGATCACTTTCATATATTAGGAGTGAATAGTTTCTCAATTTAAGAATTTTCTTTCTGATTATAAAGAATAATAAACTGGTTTGCAAATAAAGGCCGTTTACCAACACACCGCCCTAATCATTACCATTAAAAAATTCAGTAAGGGCTGAAAATTATGTAAGGAAAGCAGCAAAACTGGACTCAATTAGATTTGTAATGCAGGAGGTAGCTATATGGGGGGCCAGGGGTGGCCCCTTTTTTAAGATTTTTTTTTTTGTGCTTTACGGGGAGAATGCTAAGGAATGTGTCTCTGAAAATCATCTAGTATCCTATGTATTTGGAGGGAACATACACGCATGCTGACTGGGGGGGGGCAAACGGGTTAGTCATCCTGGATCCACGGCAAAGGGGGTGATGAACCAGACCCCTCCATCTATGGCCAGAAGATGATTTTATTGAAGAAAGAAATTGGCAAAGAAATGCTGCTTTATTCAAAAGTTGCATAAAATATTTTCTTATTATTAGTTTCTTCTGATTATCCAACTCAAGTACTGAGGATGTTGCCTCACCTGCCGTCAGTAGTCAAGTTATACTATAAATAAAGAAGGGAGATGGTGCAAATTTTTTTTTTTTTTGGAAGCATACATAGTCAAATGAATATAGTCTATTAACCTAAAGCAATATGCATAGTATGGTTGTTAAATGTCAGGTACGGCGGTCATTGACCTTGACCAGGGCCGCTTACGGTAGAACTGCAGTCAGTCCCTGGACTGACATGGCTATCATCCTACATAGTTAGGCACTCATTTCTCACTGAGATCAGCTTTACAATCATGGTGGGCCACTTGATTTTATTTATTTTGCTCAGGCTACAATAACAGGGCCCAGCATCCTGTGAGCCCTGTTACTGTTAATATATAATAGAAATTTTACACATTCAGTAGTAAAATGTCACACTGGTTAGTATGTGGGGATATTCATTTAAGAAAGCGGATGACTTTTAAGATTTTTTTAAGAAGGGGGATGCATCCCCCCTCATCCCCCTCAACTCGAGAACTCGAGTAGAGTGCCTCTAAATGGTCATACCACTGATGTAGCATCATTAAAGTTTATCAAGCTGCTATATATAAGGCTCGCTCCTCTGTAGCTAATATAGTGTGAGAGTTTAAATGCAGCACGTCCTTTTCAATGTGTTCGCAAACAGAAATGCAGCACGTTCAATACATATTGATATAAAATATATATATATATATATATATATATATATATATAGCCTGAACCTATGTAATGTATGTAATGTATTTTCAATGTCAAATTTATTTATTTAGCACTTTAAAAACAGGTATAAAACTGCACCAAAGTGCTTTACAGGAAAGACAACAACATCAATTAACAAAACACAATGTGAAACACTGCTTCAATTAAAAGCTAAAGAATAAAAATACGTTTTAAGAAGCGCTTTAAAATGATCCAAGCTGTGGGCGGATTTAATTTGAAGAGGTAAATGGTTCCACAGAATTGGAGCAACAACAGAGAAGGTCCGACCTCCTTTCCTCTTCCAGTCTGAGGAACTGTCAGTAATAGTTGATTATTAGAGCGTAGACTTCTTTTCACAGACTAGAATTTTAAAAGGTCTCTAAGATAAAGAGGAGCTAATCCATTTAAGACTTTATAAGTTAATAAGAGAATCTTAAAAGCTATTCGGTAAAAGACAGGCAGCCATTGTAAAGAGGCCAGAATAGGCTTTATATGGTCACGCTTCCTGGTTCCTGTAAGAAGCCGAGCCGCTGCGTTCTGGATCAATTAAAGTCGCTGCATCTGTGATTTATCTATTCCTCTATATAATGAATTTCAATACTCCAACTGGGATATAATGAAACCATGGATAAGTCCTTCAAAGTCCTTAAAACAAAAATAAGATTGAATTTTTGCTAAAATCTGCGGGTGATAAAAACTTGATCTAACAACAGAGCTACCTTGTTTATCTTGCTTTAAACAGCTGTCGAAAGTAAAACCAAAATTCCTAGCAGAGGTCTGACAAAACCGAGCTAAAGAACCAAGAATTAGATCTGGATTTGGATGTATGCATAGATTAACATATTAATATTACACAGAGCTATATGTAACTAAAGGTATTTTTCCCAGTTCAGAATAAATGAAAGGAAGAAGATTGTCCACTAATTTTTATTTAGCAAAGATATGGTTTTACAGTATGCATGTATATTTATTAGCAAGGTCCTGTTGAAAAATCTAGTCTACGTTTGATTTATTTTGAAAATATGGATTTTGTTGTCGCCTATTTTCCCATTTCCACAATATAATCGGTGTACATTGAACCTGAACCAGTGGAAATTATATGTTTTCTGGACACCCCTCAGTGCACAGTGGTTCCTGGCTGCTGCTGTGAAGGAATGGGCCAAAATGTTCACCAACCTATACAGCTTAAATGCTGAGAAAATGTATATGAACTTCAGAACTTGGAGAAATTAGAAAAAAAAAAAAGAGTTCTGATATTTAACAGATGAGAATAATTTTAGCAATTACACCAGGAAATGTTTGATTCAATATCAGATTGAGGAAAAAAAACACTCACATGATTTTAACTATATACTTAACATTTGTAACAGTTTGGAAACAACTAGATGTAACAAGAAAAATAAAATATAAAGAACTGAAGTGAGTTAAGGTTAATAAATAAGTATCTGTTTTGATGTTCTTCGATAGTTGAGGGCAGTTGGTCAAATAGTTTGTTTTGGTGCTTTGGGACTCAAAGTGACTCATGTTGGATTAATTAATCTCAAAGGAGAGGTAAGTTAATGACCTGTTGACCACCTTCACCATAGTTACAGCAGACAAATCTCTTTAGACACAAAAACAACAAAGTACCCTCAGAGGACCTTCTTTGAAACAGTAAAACCTTTATGCAGTTTAACATTTTAAACACCCAAAACAACTGAATGCTTTATTCCAAACATGTCATGTTTTACTGGATCCTATTCAGTTAAAGCCGATTTTAAAGAACTTTGTTTTTTCTCAAGAGGAAAGCATAAACTAACCACTGATTCATGATTACTCGGATGTTGTCTAAAATTATCCCTGAAGGAAGCTGATCACTAATGCAGCAAGTATTAGAGGATCACTATAAAATATTTTTTGGACAACAAAGAGAAAGTTACATGACTTTTATTGAATCAATGTGCAACAAAAGTGATGGATGGTGAATTACCTTGTTTTTCTTGTAAGTATATCAAAGTACCCTATGTTATGGTTCTCCCCTTTTGGACTTTGAGTTTTCAGTTATCTAAGTCCTTCTGTTTTGTTGATCTTTAGTTTATTTTCCATTCTGTGTTATTTTTTAAGCAGTCTTGAGTTACTCTCTGTGGCCCCCTTAGTGCCAGTCTCCTTTCCCCTACCTCCCTTCTAGTCACTTCTATCCACACCTGCTCCATATTAGCTGATTACCCCAGTCTTTGTTCTGTCTCCCATATATATTCTCCCTGTGCCGTTCTTCAGTGCTGGTTCCTTGTTGTTACTTGGCTCCCAATGTCTATTCTCCCCTGACATCTCCTGGTTTTTGGTATTTTGTTTCTCTTACCCTTTTTCATTATATCCATGAAACTCACCTCTGCCTTCTGCTTTCTGAATTTGGACCCTCAATGAACCTCCACCTCTTGTTGGCACCCTGTGTTTTATATATATATATATTTTTAATAAAAGTTGGAAGAACTGTGTTTGATTTGTGAGGTTAAATGGTTCGATCCCCACATCCTCCACTCTGGGTTCCTGAGAAAAAAAACTTTAACCCCTGATTGCTCCTTGTGCGCCACACAATGGAAGCTCAGTACTCCACAAGGGGATGGGTGTAATGAAGAGTCAAATTTCTCCAATGTGAGATCAATAAAGTTAAATTATTATAGTTTTAAAGTAAAAGTTCCAGTAAAACACTTTTTTACAGTAGATTCTATTAAAGCATATTTTTGCTTGGAGAAAAGCATCTATTACAGCCCTTTGCTGTAGACTTTGTGTCAGGAATCCAGTTTGTGTGGGTTATGCTTTTGTTTGTTTTCCCTCCACCACCAGGTGGCGCCTGGTTCTCATTGGCCTCCTCACACACCTGCGGATGGTTGCCTCATCACTGGAGGACTCTTAAGCTGCTGACTGCCACTACCTCGAGTGTTTGCCAGTATTGGGTACTCTAGCCAAGCTCAGTTTTGCTGAGTCAAACTGAGTTTTTGTCACCTGAGTCTTAACCTTGTTGTTTTTGTCTTTGCCTCTCGGCAGGAAGTCATCCTGCAAACTGGATGTTTTGGACCTTCTCCCCCCTGGAAGGATTCTCTGAGCATCAAACTGAGCTGAGGATTCAAACTGGTGGTTTGGATCTACTTTTCCCCAAGGATTGTTTGAGCTTCTCTCTGAGCAGGGAATTCATCTCCACAAGAAACCGTTCAAGTACTGAGGAAATCTAAGTGGCTGTCAGCTCCTCCATTCCTCAAAGAAACACCTCAACCTGGTTAAACCCTGTCCCCCCTCCAACAAACAAATCTATTACTGGAACAACCCACACCGACTATATTTAATGAAGGACACCTTTTTCTGGAAACGTGAGTCCTGCTGCCTTTATTCCCTTCTTTAATTAAAGACACAAATTTTCCACTGAGCCTGAACTAACCGCAGAATCTTCCCTTCACTTTTCAGTCCCGGTTCGACAGTGTTCAGAGCAGCACTGGACTCCTCTCTACCAACACTGAATAAACCTTTTAAATCTTTTCCTGGTCTCTCTGTTTTGGTTTTCTGCATGTGGGTCAGAGCTTTGGATAAATCATGACACTTTGAAAATCCTCTACATGCCTGCTCAGTTTTGCCCTAGTAACTCCACCTTCTCCAAGATAAAAGATCTGAGTCTGGGGGTAGGATTATCCAACTGTCTCTAAATTGTTGAGAGAAGCTTATTGTTTTAACAGAAGTGGAACAGGGAAAAGAGAGTATTTAAAACTGTGATTCAAAGTTTATGTAAAACTCTTTCTATTATACAAAAAAAAAAAGGTTTAGTCCGGATTGTAACTGTAAAAACTCGAATATTTGCTGTGGGGAGAGAACCAGTACCTGAAGAGGATGCCTGCATCCCAGTACATCATTTTGAAACTCCCACTCACTTTCACCAATCAGTGGATATTAAATACATATATTTTAGTCATGTGATATCTTATACTTATCATTTGGTTCACTGTTCATTTGTCAACAAGCAAATCTGTTTGGCTGAGATTAAAGTTAAGCCATACAACATGGATCGTACAGTTTAACGTCTCACTTGGTAGCAGGACATTAAATTTGGAAATCTTTAATGATTGCCTGCGACAATAAACCGTATTAACAGTAGCCAGATTGATATTGTAGAACTGAGTTAAGTTCCACGTTATCTGGGATGGCTGCCGTTCAATCTGTCCGTGAGTTTTGTACAATATTTCGAGCTAATTGGGTGACGTGCCAGCTTATACCCGCCTTGCATAATACGCTTTCAGCCAATTGTAGCAGCGAATCGTGACGTTTTAGATCACAAAAGGATAGAGGATAGTAAGCTGATTAATCAAACTTTTTCCAAATCCTGTTGGAAGAAAAGCACTGACATCTTTCTAATCTACAAATGCACAAAGTGCTTCTCTTTGCTCCTTTTTTTAAATGAGAAATTGTCGTTATTTTAGCTAAAACCGAGTCCAAACGAGTCCAATAATGTATCGACAGGTGAGTCCTCCAGCGTAGACATGTTTTTAATGCCCCAGCAAGGCCCTTCTGACTATCGTCACTCCTACATGTCCCACCCCAAAAAACACTGATGTCATGTCAATGGTCCGCTTCGCTGGTGGTTACGAGACGGACGTATTATACCTCATATCTCTCAGCTTATAGCGCAAGGTTATGCAACAATAGTAAAAATTCCTTAATAATTAATAAATCAGAGGTGAGCAATAAATCTCACAGCTCTATGTTTGACACTGGCATGGTTGGTAGATAACATAGGATACGTTGATGTAAGAACGGGAACAGCTGGTGATGCTTTTGTTCCTGATTACCACCACAGACTGGACTCATTTATTACACACATTTACCGAGATGTTTCATGGCCCTTCTGAGCAGTGAAAAGAGAAATGAAAATAAATGACCTCTGAAGTAAAATAATTCATTTTAATCCACGAAAAAAAAATCTAATTTATTTACAAATCAAGGCAAGTTTATTTGTATACCACATTTCAGTTGCTAGACAGTTCAAATGCTGTAATTAAATAATAAAAAAAACTAAATAATAAATTGAATTAAAATGAACAACAGAAGTAACAAAATTATATTTAAGATAAATATTAACTGAAAACACCTGTGAAAGTCTTTAAAAGGTATCTCAGTCTAGTTTGTTGGCTACACAACAATGGGGAAGACTGCTGACTTGATGGTTGTCAATTATACAAAGAGGCCAAGACACAAAAGGTCTTTGGTAAAGAGGCTGAAAGCTCACAGAGCTCAGTGTCCAAGCACATCAATAGAAAGGTAAAAGAAAGGAAAAAATGTAGCAGGAAAAAAAAGTGTACAGCTGTGTAGAGTGCAGCTCGTGTCATGATCTTAGCGCTGATTACTGACGGTTTACTCATTTTTTTCACCTATTTAGCTCTGCCAGTTTTCCTATTGCTGTTCATCTTATCCACCTGCTCCAGTCTCTATTTTAGTGAGTGTGCCAGCATTACATTAGTGTTTCTGATTACCTGTTCTGCCTCTCAACCACTGAGTCCGCCTGCTCCCGTCAGATCAGTTTTCAACTGCCTGCTTTCATTTATCAGCCCAGATTATCTACTGGCCAGTGGTGAAAGTGTGTCAGCATTACCTGAATGTTTCAGGTTACCTGATCTGGTTCTGCCTCACAACCACTGAGCCTGCCTGTTCCTGTCTGATCTGTTTGCCTGACCTGTCTTTAGACACCTGCCTAATTCTGCCTGTTTGCTGAACTTCTGATTCCTGAACACGTCCTCGATACCGGCCTGGACTTCGCCCTATGGATGACCCTGCCTTCATTCATCTGCTCAGATCTGGTCTAAAAAATAAAAATCATAATTTAAATAAAATATAATTTCTCAGCTTCAAGAAATGCAAAATCCATGTGATAAAATGGGAAACATTTCATTTTATTTATATGAAACCAATTAACAAAAAAATTTGCCAGAAAAATAGATAAAATTTATACTGATTTGTACAGACAGAGAGATTTGAAGAAATTAGAAATGCTCCCAAAAAAATCAAAATCTATGTAAGTAATTTTTTCTTAAAAATTGTGCATTTGTTCTTGGATTAAGGAGGTAAAAGAGACATTTTGCCAGTGGAACAAGACAATTTACACTTAAAATAAGAAAACACAATTGCATTGTCTTATTTCAAGCACATATTATCTAATTTTCCTATTTTAAGAATAAACATACTCATTCCATTGGCAAACTATCTCATTTACCTACTCAAAGCAAGGGTAAATACATTTAATTTCAAATATTTTTTACTTATTTCTATATCATTTTTCCCGTGCCATATACATCCTGCTTATCAGTTTGTTTTTTATTATATGGGTGTTTTATGATAAACACAAGTTACAAATTTTCCAGAATCTTGACTGCATAGCCTTTCATAAAATTCATATTAAAGAAAAAAAACAACAACAAAAAAAGCAGATGTCAAACTTGACTTTCAAGTTTAAACCCTTGAAATGCGACCACACACAAATGCATCATTGTCCTCCTAATTTTTGTGAGGATCAGTCCATAAATGACGGGATTAAGAATTGGTGGAAATATGAGAAACTGCACGGCCATGAAGTTCCTTAAACTCTGCGGCACAGATGGAGATCCATACCTCGAGTACATGATATCGAACAGCAAAGCCGTTGAGACGTTAAACAGACAAATGAGATGCGGAACGCACGTCTGGATAAACTTCCCTCTGCCCTCCCTGGACCTCAGAGCCGACTTTATGAGCTGGACGTAAGAACAGACGATGTAGAGAAACTGAGCAATATAAAAGGCAATAACAATGAGTCCAGCTATATCATTTACTTTTGTTGAACCACAAGAAAGTTTAACAATGGACCAGTTTTCACAGTAAAGCTTGTCTATATGGGAACCACATAACCTAAGAGTTGATGTAAGGCTGATAACCAGCAGCTCACACCACAGAGGAACCAGCCAGCAAACACAAGCTAAAGCCAAAGTCCTTTTCACCGTCATGACAGAGTGGTAGGCCAGTGGTCTGCAGATAGCCACATATCGGTCATAAGCCATTAGCACTAAAACAGAGTAGTCAACCATTGCATAAGAATAAATAACATAGATTTGTAAAAGGCACCCTGCATAGGGTATGACACGACTGTCAGATAACAGATCATAGATAAATTTGGGGTAAAAGCCTGCAGTCCCATACAGCGCATTAATACACAGATTACACAAAATAATATACATGGGTTCATGCAGCTTCTGATGGAACACGATGGTAAAGATAAGAGCAACATTTACCAGTAAAATCAGACAGTAACATAGCAGAGAGAGACAGAACAACGTAGCTCTATAGCTGGTGGTTGCACTGAAGCCTGTCAGTGAAAATAGAAAAACAACAGACGTGTTTCTCATTTGGATGCTGCATCAGATTAAGACCTCTGCCATGTCTGCACGCCCCTTTAAGTAAAGAAGAATCTGTGAGAAACCTCCTTCTTGCTTTACTTTGTTTCTCTCAGGTGTTCCCAGGGGCGGTTCTACAGGGAGACATGGGGGGGGGACAGCCCCCTGCTGTAGAGCCTTGTTCCTCGGTTACCACCCTACTTTAACACTGGGGTTGTTTTTTAATATTTGTCCTTGTGTGTTCTGATGTGCTCCAGCGCTCACAGTGCTCAGAGTATTAAGGTTAAAAGTTCTCTTTTCTGTTGCTGTTGTTCAATAAAAGTATATCTTAAAATAATTTAAGGCTAGAACATTATACTTTTTAGCATCACTATATGGCCCATTTAATGATTTAGTGTGTAATTTTAAAAAAGTTCTGATGTTGAGAGGACCGCTGCAACCAGCAATCCTCTCAACATCACGTATTGGCATTTGGCTAATACGTAAAAATGGTTTTCAGAAGAAATCCAACAGTGAAACAGGCTTTAGAAAGGCTTCAAAATATTGATGATAGAGATTTGGGCAGGGATGGAGAGACCGACAAATGCTTGGACGTTTTGGATCAGATGATTAAAAAGTATTCTGTACAAACTCTAATGCGAAGGTGGCTTGTGGCTCTTTACAATCTCCTGGACATAGCAGCTAAAACGTGTTGGTGGTGTCCAGGAGCTGTTTGAACGTCGCCATCTCACGCAGAGTTTTTATCCATGAACTGGTAAAACAGTTGAGTGCAAACCACATGTGCTCCAGAGTGCCACAAGTTACCAACCCCTCCGTCGCAGAAGAGCCAGCTTTGGAGAGGCAAAGAAAACAGTCCCCGGTGCTTCAGCGCTGCACAATATATATATATATTAGCCCTGTTTTAAGGTTTACATACCCTCAATGGGTTTATTTCGCACACTAGAACCATTTCAGTCGATGTCCCCACCGTCAAATTGATGGCCAGTGGGAATTGTAATAGTATCAGAATTCTGGTCCTAGTATCAATGACATTAAAAGGCTTTTAATAATTTTTTGTTAAATGACCATAACAGCCCTAAATTTTAACCACCATTTACCAAAACATATAAGATATACTGTTATATATATGTTTTATATTTTACTGCTTATGGGACCTGTGTGAATTTGATAAATAATTTCTGGCCTTATTTTGCTATAGACCTCGTAAATTGGCTTTTTTCTTACAATGTTTAATGCTTATGTATTGCAGAGGAAATGGAGATTTAAAAGTGGAGACATTTCTGGTTTCTTTGGTTAAAAAAAAGTGAGGGATGAGAAGGAAGGATGATAGAGAGAGCAGGAGAGATACAGGAGAGGGAGGCCACTGAAAGTGCAATATTCTGTGCAATATGCTGAATGTGCAATATATGTGAATAGAATAGTCATACCACTACCTCACCGTTGCTCCTTACCTACTACACTTTAACGTAAAAGTAAATCCACCTGTATATAAGCCATCCGGACTGTACATATATTTTTTTAATTTCTTATTTCCTTAGTTCCTATTTTTATTTTGTTTTTCATCGTGTGCGATACATGTACACTTGCACCTTAATCCTTATTTATCTTGATATACTGTATATACCTGGATATACTGTATATATAT